TTTATCTAATTAGAAAGGAATTAATTATGATCTACTGAAAGATGTACCTCTGGCTGTTAATTTTATGAGGATGATATGCCTTGAGCAAAAGCACAGAAATAGGCTTTTGCAAGAACTTAAGAAAATACGTTTTCTCATATAAGTTGTTATGAGTTTTGCATGTGGACTGTATTTATATATATATATATTTATGTCTAACATGGACAACAAAACAAAACCTAAATCAGAGAAAGAAAAACAGAACAATTGATAAAGCTTCCCCATGTGCGAGCTTTGGCTTCTTCACTGTGAGATCTAGCTCATGTTCAACAATTTCATTAACCAAGACATTCCCCCTCCCCACCCTCTTCCTTTCTTTTCTACCTACGGAAATTTACTGGGATTCCTTCTGTGGATTATCTAAAATTGGGGAAGGTGCTCATGCACCATTATCATGCCTGTTGTCACATGTGATATATTAGCTTTTCAGGCAGAATATTTTGTCTTGGAGACAAACGTGAAATGTCTGTTCTATGAAAGAAATGACAAGCTAAAACAAAATCACAGCAGTGTTCATGCAGCTTTTGGGTTGGATTCAGCCCTGGGGCCGGTGATAAAGAATCAGTCATCTTTTATGGTCTTTATGAATCTGGTGGCTGAATCTTCTTGCTATCACATTAACTCTTACAAGGAAGTCTGCTTATTACTTATTTAAAAATCTGCATCCTAATGTTGCATTATTTATGCAAAAAATATTCTGAAATAGAGGGAGCCACTCACTTAATACAGAATGATCATGACTAGGAGTACCAGGATCAGCTTTTATTCTGTACATTTTAATTTTCTGTTTGTGCTTTGAATTTTTAGTGTATTCTTGTGAGCTTAACAGCCAAGTACCAAATAATTTAAATGTAGCATTTGAACCGGTCAGCATTTTTTGCATGTGAAAGTAATTAAATTTTATTAGGCTGTCTGTGCTGCTTTAACCCACTTTGTGACCAATGTTCTTTTTTTGACCACAAGCAGTGAACTATATCCTGAATGTTTGGCACAAAGTTGTTTTTTTCCAATATTCCACAGTAGATCAAAACCTAAAGCTCACCATATTCCATTACTTTTTTAAAGGCTTTTTCATGCAAAAAACCATCACTTTAAACAGGTCAAAATTATTTGGGACCTAGCACATTGATGCACATTTTGACATATAAACATATAGTGGGAAAGCTTCTGTTTTTACATCCATACGTACATCATTTTTGGTTTACAATTCACAAATAAGCAAAGGTTGTCATTGATACCATATGATATCTCCTAGTCACAAATGATACCAAAAAGAAAAGAAAGGTAAAAGCACTTACGTTTGTATACAACTGTAAAAAGATGTATGTGTAAACCTTTTTTACCTTGTATCTTTGTACATATCTATGTTCCAAGCTTTCTTGGAGCTCTTGTTTACAACAATGATTTCAGTCACGGTTCCAAAACATGGATTTAATTTAAGACTAATGAAAGGATTAGCAAAGTAATAACAATTTACTGTGATAAATGTATAATATGTGCCTCTTCCAATAAACTTAAAATTATTGTTTTAATTAGCAAATGGAATTCAACATCTTCTAGATGTCTCATTAAAATGAAATTAGATGCAGGACAGGGAATTTTAATTCAAAACATTCACTTCCATTGTTGGAGCACATTCCTGAATTAGTTTCTAGATTATTTTAGTAAATGTCCCTGCTAATGTACTTGTAAAATGTAGGGTCCAGCCTTGTTAACATTCCCTCTCAGAAAGAGGATGTAGGAAGAATTTCATTTCAAAAGGAAAAATAGGATTGTACACAGTGACCTCAAGGATTATTTCCACATGTAATTTAATTTCAATTTCTACATCTCAAAATAATTGACACTGTATTCTTAGTGATTACTGAATATCAACTTGCTAAGCTACACAGAAGATCCCTCAGCTGAGGCAACTGCTCTGAAAGCAAAGGTAGAATAAAATTTTACATCTGTAAAGATTTGGAAAATTCACATCTACTTTGAAGTATGCTGGAGCCTCTCTCCTGACAATGCCAATCTCCTCCTCAGCAGCTGTATGAGTAACCAAAGATAACTTACTTTTTTCTGTATCACATAAAGTGTTTGCTGTGTAACACTATGTCCATAGAGTGAGAAATGATATAAAGTGTGAGAAAAAAAATGGGTATATCTCAATGGTTTGTGTATCATAAATTAATGTTTCTATGGTAACTCTCTGAAGAAGAGTAAAATTTATTTGTTTGAGAAATAAGCACTTAAACTGATAATGGCAGGAAGGAATTTCAAACAAATTTGCAGTTAAGCGTGGCTCATGCCTAATAGCCATCCTGGGTTTGCTCCAGACCATTTTTGCTCTCAATCTGCGAAGCTTGAAGGAAAAGACAGTTTTTAAAGATGTTCAGGGGAGACATTTCTCTGTGTGGATACTCAGATTATGCCAACAAACTACAAAGATACAGCAGGAGGCCTTGGGTGTAAAATATCCCTAGACATGAGCTACCAGCTGTGCATACTTACCTACTTCTGCACCATCACAGATCATCACAGAGTATGACTGTCTTCTTGCCATAGCAGGACACTTGACTCATTAAACTTGGGATAAGTGGTTGGACACAAGAAGCTCACTAGTAAGCTCCTCGAGTTGCTATGCTGTAGCTTCCACCCCCAAGGAGTCAAATGGCTTCATTGGGAAGGAGTGGATTAGGCATTAGGAAAAGCTTCTTCCTCAGAGGGAGGTGGGCATGGAACAGGCTTCCCAGGGCAGCGGTCATGGCACTGAGCTGCCAGAGGTCAAGAACTGTTTGGATAACTCTCTCAGAGTTATTCAGGGTTTGAATTTTGAGTGGTTCTGTGTGGAGTGAAGATTTGGACTCAATGACACTGGTGAGTCTCTCTAACCCAGAATATTCTGTGATTCAAAGAACACCAGCAGCATGTTGGATCTCCCCCCTTCCCTCCGAAACCATCCTCCCCACTCCTCCTCCAGAATTCTCATTCCTTCAGAGCCAGAGAGGAGAGGGCAGAGGCAGAGATGGGTAGAGGACATGGAGAGAGATGGTGTAAGAGGAAAACACAAGGGAACCAGCCTTAGCAAGCAAAAACTGCTGAATGCTGTTTTTAGATGCTCAGTTGTTTTTTTTGTTTGTTTGTTTTTTCACAGTTGAGCTCCCTTGCCTACTGCCCCTTATCTTATATTTGGGCATCTAATCACTCCCATATATCCATACGGCTTTTGAGTTTCTCCTGTTAAAGATCATGCTTGCATTTCTTCAGTCCAATTTTCCAGAGCTATTTTGAATTCTAATCCCAGCACCCTGAGTGACTGAGCCTCTTCATCTCACAAGGGATGCTTCTGTTGCATGCCTTGTTTTACAAGGGCAAATGTGATCTTCATGGATATGAGTGTAATTTATGCCTCCTATAAAAAATAATCCCTTTTTGTTTCTCTAAATGGTAGTGAAATGTGAAGTTAATGCAGAAACACGAGTAAGTGAAGATAATGAAGGATGTATTTGCTAAGCTTGGTGGAACATCATTTGTGCCTCATGCAGAGTGCTGAACTAAGTAAAAACTTGATCTGCATCAAATGAAGTGAACTTAACTGACTTTCTTGAAGATGCATAAATGAGAACGCCAGGAAGCAATGCTGCAGTGTTGTCTGGCTGCATGGATAGTGGGACATATGAATCCAACCATTCTGGCACCAAGAAGATGCAGCTGATCAGTAAACTCAAGTGAACACTCCAAATTGCTTGGTTCTTTTTTTTTTTTTTAATTTTCAGTTGGATTCAGGTACACAGATAAAACAACTGCCGTGCAGATCTAAACTCCACATATAACAAACAAATAAAACAAAACAAAAAAAAAAGGAGGTAAAGATTTGGACATATCTTGTGCACACTTTTCCAAGAAAGCTCCCAGAAATAGCTTTGTCAAGGAGAAGTTACAAGGGATAGAAAAAAAACAGCATAAAGATCTTTCATTTTGTCTGATATGAAATGCCATATGTTTTTGCATGCTTCGTTAATGCTCCCTTCTTTGCCGCCTACAAATGCACAATGAGTTCAACCTTCAGGGGTCAGCAGTGCTCAGCATATCTATGTGAACCGAGCTTGGAGAGTCTGCGGGGACTGTCGGATAAGGGAGGAATGGGCTGAATATTAATTCTGCAGGTTTAGGTTGGACAGTTTAGAATCTGAAAGCCAGCTAGGTAAATATCATCCCCCATCTTGCTGAGACATACAAACGTTGCTAACCACCCAGACAGCTCTGTTTTGAGAAGAAAAAAAAACAAACTTCATTCAGAGGGTGCACTTGTACCGTATTCTTGTGTATCGATTTGCTAGAGTATAAAATTCTCTATTTACTCATAGTTTTGAAATTAGAGTAGTTTTTTGGGGCTTTCCAGTGCACAGCATCCTGTGTTTCGAGCGATAACATTCATTGTTGGAAAGCTTAATGCTATCAGACTAGCTATACGTGGTATGGAATCAAGGTTGCTAAATGCATCAGTTTTGATTGCTGTACTGAAATACAAGCAGGGTAAAGTCTGCTTCACTGTCTATTTTTTATGCCCAGTGGTCTTTCATACCAGGGTTCTGCCTAAATTTAAGTCTGTGAAGATTACCTTCAAATTAGAGTAAAGTAGAGCTCAGGATTTAGATCTACAAATCTGGCTGCAAATGCCCTACTCCACTAGAAGCCTACCAATTTGGATGCAAGGGAGCACAATCTTTGCAGCTTTACAATGCCTTAACAATGCGCTGTTTATGGACGCTGTTCAGCATACATAGGCATACATGCATGCAAAGCTGAGAGGTTGAAGTGAAATGACTCAGTGGATTTCTTCTGTTACAGCATGAACATTACTGCTACTTTAAGCTTTCTTATTCGTGTTAAAAACAGTGGACTGAATAAAGAAGAGTAAGAATTGGAAAGGATATGAAAATATAATGATGACAGTATAATAAATTACTGCTTACCATTTCCTGAGTGTTTGCAAAATCTGCCTCTTTTGAGCTACACTGTACCAAAAGCATTATAATATTAATCAGGACAATACAAGGAATACACGTTTCTATCAAAAATGACTTAAGGTAATACACATTCCTGCTCTCTAAAGGCAAAAACTAAATAAACATGACTTTTTTCAACCGACTGAAACTGTACAAGATACACTGGTAATGCATGTTTATACATGGTTAAAAATACAGCCTGAGCCTTAGCAGCCTGTGTCTTGCATCTACAGTTTTATCAAATGTAAAATAAACTGCTCTGTATCTAACTCCACATCACAGCAATAACCCCTGAAGTTATTTTTATTTGGCCTCAAATGAACATAAAAAAAGAATTTTTAGAGCAGCCATTTCTTTCTGCAGCATCCATCAAGGCACTGGCAGTGCAGCCTCAGTGCAGAAAGTGTTAGTGCTTCTGAAACGTATTATTAGTGTAAACCTTGGCCTGGACTTGACTTTATTTTATATTTTATGACAGAATGTCAAAACTACTTTGAGATGCATTAATGTAGTCACTGGAATGAAAATACTTCTAGTCAATCAGTGTTTGATCTAATGCAGTTAGCTACACCACTCAGTCTTCAAGCTCTGACACTCTTACACTACAATCTGCCTTTCATCTATTACACGGAGAGGTGACTTACCACGAGGGAGTAACAAATCTTGAATCCTGGTTTAGCCACAAAATAGTCATCGGATTTGAAGGTTATCTTTATCTGATTTGTTCTTGATGTTATTCTTGGAGGTACTTCCTTGTGCCCACACCACCGTCCTCGTATAACTGTGCTGGTCTCTGATAAATCTTCCACTTCCACAAAGTCATACCTGGGAACCAATGCAAAGAATTAATTTTTCCTGACTCTGGTTCAGTTGGTGGCTGCAAACAGACAGGGGCAAAGCTGAAGATGAACTGACAACTGGCCCCCGTTCTCTGCTACAAAACACCAGGCTAAATGTTACACATGGTAGACACACTCGCTTAGCTCATAATATACTAAGCTGCAAGCAACTGCTTGAGTGCCCAGATGGCTACTTCTGGTACTGCTGGAGCATGACAGGCAGTATTTTCAGCCATGTTCTATTAGCGATGTGAGGCACTTAGACTTACACAGTAAACACACCGATTGCACTTCATGTGGTGGATAAATAATTTAGAGATCTGATAAGATATTATTTGAAGTAGGCTGCCCAAGCAAAGCAGCTGCAAGCACTTGTGCACTTGCTGGTGGTCCTGAACTCCCTGCAGCAGCATCCACTAGCTCATCTGCTGTGCTGGGGCAGAATCAGGAGATGCCAGACGAACAGGGAACAGGACATGCTGATGAAAGGTGATTGTTAGGATCTTCTTCGTAGGTGGTAAGATGCTCCCTGTTGTATCATTTGGAATGACATATCAGGCTTTACGGCAGAAAATGGGGACTACTCTGCTGTTTTCCTGAGCGCTGTCACCAGAAGAAGCATCATCTCTTGCCTGCACAAGGTCACACCTTGGCCAGGTACATCCCTGGTTGTTCTGAGCCTAAACTTGGCTTTGACAGGAGCAGGAAGCACCAAACCCCAGGGATGGGAGGGCATAGCAGTGGCATATGATACCACAGCCTGCTTGTTTGTGGGCTTGGGTCATCTACTGAGTTCATTTATTGAACTGGAGGTAAAAAAAACAAGTCAGAGAATAGAGTCCTGATTTAATTACATCTATGAAAAAAGCAGTCCTTGGATATCTGTGGAACTAGAAGTAAGGCTCCACACATTGCAGCCAGCAGGGGAGAGGTGATGACAAGGTGGGCAGGCTGAGTACAGGCAAGGAGATAAGGGGAGAGCTGCCATCCCCACAGCAATGCTAAGCATTAGAACATTGGAGGTCTCCACTCAGGAAAGGCTTTTATTGCCAGACCACGTGCTCCTTCCAAAGAGGGAGTTTAAGACTGTTAAATAACTCTTACATGAAGCATGCTGATGAAGAGCTCCCCATGCCTTGGGCCTGAGGACCAGGCGCTCCTCTGTCCCAGGTCACAGGAGATGAACAGCTCTGTCATAGGAGCCTTGCTTTCCTTTTTCTGCTGAGAACCCATGTGAAAAAATCCAAGTACACTGCAATTTGAGAATATCAGCCCTGCTGCTTTTACATCCACAACCCCCAAATTACACAGAACAGAAAATAACAGATTTGCTGTAACTGAACAACTACATCTGCCCAAACCCTGCTGAAACAAATGTTTTTTATGACATTAGAAAGTTATGTTCCAGACAGAAGTAAAGTGGTCTCTGGTTCTCTCCACTGTTGTTGAGCAGGGCCCGCTCTCCGGTGGGCATGGACATGGCAGGCCAGCACAGGTCCTTCACCACACATGTAAACTGTTCCCAGAGGTCTTCACAAAACACGTAGGTGTGACTCTGAAGGACACGGGTTAATGGACAACATTGGTGGTAGGTGGATGGTCAGACGAGATGATCTTAGAGGTCTTTTCCAACCTTAATGATTCTATGATTCCATGAACTGCTAGAAAAAAGTGGGGCAAATCCATGCAGTTCTGAGAAAGCACTTCTGTTTTCAACAGCAGAAGCTTTGCTGCAAAAAACATGGAAGTAGGTGCAATCTCAGTTGTTTCTATGCTTCTATCCAGAGCTTCAGAAGCTAGTGAACTTAATTGCTTTTCAGGATCATCTCTTATCAAGTGCCTGCAGAAATCTAAAAGCACTTCCAGAAAAATCTGCAAAGCCTTCAATATTTCCCCTCCTGCTGCAACAGCTCTGCAAAAATGTACCTTTTCACTCCGCAGCCTGAATGAATTTCAATCAGTTCAGCCTAATAGTATGCAAATTACAATAATTAGCATTAATGAAAAATGAAAAGAAAACACTAGGAACAAAGTCAAAAGCAAATACAAAAGGAAGCAGAGCCCCTGAATTACCCGTCCAATATGCACAGCATTAAGCAAATGCTTGTGTCTCAGTATTCGATTAAAAACATGCCATGCTGTCTCTCTACAGCAGCACAGGAAAGATTGTCAGGTACTAAAGCAGAAGAAAGCACTTGGTTTTCAAGCATTAACAAAAAAATTTAACTATGCACACAGTAAAAACAAGTGTGGAGCCATCAGAAGCTGTCTCCCTGGGAAATTCCTTGCTTTGGAAGCAAATAAAAGTTTTCCAGTAACTCCAGGGAAAGCTCTATTTCTGAAAAGAACGTGGTATTTCTCCAGCTTCTATAGACATATGGATTATAGGAGATCTTTGCTTTTCTCTGCATCTTAAATTAGCTGCTCTGGGAAAAGCAGCTGGACTGTCTTCCAAAAAGGTCAAAATCCAGAACACCGATAATGGCTTTACTTCCCCTCATTGTGCCACCACCTTTAATGGCTCTTGAAAGAAAATACTTCATCTTTCTTCATAGTAAATTAGCCCTCTGTTTCAAAGATGCAATGATTTAAGGTCAGCCACAGTTTATTCACTATGTAAATATTAACAAGCCACTTCTGTATGCATCAGACTCTCAATCTGGGAAAGCATTTGTGGTACTAGGAGGTAACTCATTACTTTGCTGCTGATCTCAGACCAGCAATACCAGAGCAGAGCAGAAGCTGCCAAGACAATAAACGTGCAAGGGGAAGAGAGCCAGTTTCAGTCTGCATTCCTTTATTGCTAAATGGAAAGCAAACCTGCAGAAATGATTTTCTCTACTGGTAATGCGCAAAATTAACAAAGCAAAAACACACACACACAAAAAAACACCCAGTAAAACCCTACAGAGGTACCAAGCCCTATACATGCAAATTAATTGCCAAAGAAGATAAGATAAGAAGGGGCTGGCTGTACAGAAATCCTAACAACTGAGTTCTCCACATAGATAAGGTGAAAATGACGGCATGATCAGGCAGAGAGCTAGAAGCTGAGACTTGAGCTTTTGATGTAAGCAGCATCACAGCAATCTGGTTTTTGGAGTGCATGGCAATCTTAAGCCTTCTGACAGATCAGATAGCTGAATAAAGGAAATAGAAACTAAAAAATTAAAACAGTATGTTATTTATAGTGTTTTAGTGAACACTGGCAAGATTCAGCTCTGAGCTCTGCTATCACAGAGCAGTTTATCCACCTGGGTTAATCAGTCAGATCAAGTGAGCTTATGGCCACTTTGGCTTAGAAGAGGAAATAGAAAGAACTGATATAGTAGAGTATCATCTATTAGATATACTTGTATGCAGAATATACTGATGTTTGCAGACCTATATTTTAAAGTTTTAAAAGAAAATATGCCAGTGAAGAATAACATTAAATATTAACAACATTGTGAAGAAAATCGCCATATTTTTCAGTGCATTTTTATCTGCCCCTCACACCATAATACCTACAAATAAACCTACTGAAAAAGATGTTTCTGTCTGGATGAAACATGACAGAGGTGACAAAGGACAAACACCCATTAATATAGTACCTGAGCTGCATGGCAGCTGGATTTGAGCATGTAAGTGTCTTGTGTATAGAATGTTACAGAAGAACCAAAACCTTGCACAAACTGCTTCAACTCTAGGATAGCTCAGTTTATGATAAACTCAAACACAGGTTGGAAGAGGCTCCTGGAAGCATGACCCTTGAAACAGGGTCATCACAGATCAAGTCAGGGTTGTGCAGGTTTTCGTTTGCAATCTCAAGGCAATGGTCATGCCATTAACCTAGGTCGTCCAAAGGAGCCCTTTGCCAACTTCCACATCAGAGGGCTTGCCACTCACCTGCAGATCTCATTTTCAGGCTCCTCCAGTCCAAACTGATGATCAAAAGCCAGCTGGATCCTGGTGCTCTCCGGGGAGTGCAGCCGCCACGTCAGCAGGAGGTTCCTGGGGTAACTGCTCGGGAAGCGAGGACTGTGGATGCAGCCATTCCCTGCCACACTGATGGTCTCTTCTTTTCGGTACAAGTCTGTGAGGTGATTGCTCTCTGTTAGTAGTCACAACTTGTAGAAATTAGTGTGTTGTTCCAGTTACAGGAAGGCAAAAAACACAACAGTTTATAAAACAGCACATATTATTTGCATTTAATATCTAAGACTTCTTAAGACTTTTTAAAGTCAAATCTAAGAGCATTCATTATTAAATGGAATTACATTGTGTAGTCCCTTAATTCAACCCCCATTAAACAATAAGAACAGTTCTCAACTGTATACATTCTTTATTTTATAAGTATATAATCACTTTTACAACAATACTGATTTCATAACTCAAGTCCCACCATTTGGATTTTAAAACAGAATTTAAAACTTTAATAGACATTGCAAACATGAGAACAATCAAGTGAGGCAGAATCAGTTAAAAAGGTAAGCATCACTGTTTCCCAAATCTGGTGCTGTGGGGGAGAGATGTTCTCTGAGAAAACCAACAAACACAACAAAAGAAGGATTCTAATTTGTTTACCAGACTTAAGTATTTCCTCCCAGAAGCATCAACACAAACAGCAACTCCATGCTTACACCAACAAAACTGAAATCAGAATCTCTCCCACCAACCGTATTCTTGAGTAACTTCTAGACTAATAGCCAAGCCATTACTTAATTACAATTCCAAAACTTTTGCCTGAGCAAGTACTCAATTGTTCCTAAAGTTTACATAAAGCCTAGGCTGCTGTAAATCCCTTGCTCCAAGGATAGCAGGAACTGCACCAAGTTCCACCTCCAGGTCACAGTGTCTCTCAACTGCACCATGCACTTGCACCACCCAGCCGTGATCAGTAGTAGGACTGGGCTCCCAGCACCGGCAATTGACAAACAGCTGGACTTGTGTGCATCGTCAATTTCAGTGTGGTGAAATTTCAAAGGTCAGATTGTTTCTAGGCAACGCACAATTTCCAGTCAAGATATTTGAAACTGAGCCTCCATGTGTGAAATAGTTATCTACACATCCCTTACCATTAGTGGAGATCTTGAGCTGGGCTCCCTCACAGCACAGCCAGTGGCACTTTCACTCTGGCAGGTCCTGACTCAGCCAACCACATGGAACAAATTTCAGCTAACTAGTAGAAACATGAACACTGTCTTGTATATGAACACCTAGCCTTGTGTCCCAACCTTAAACTGAACATCCACATTTCTAAACCTCTTTAAAGATAATAAATGTTTCTTAAGTACCTTTGGCAAACAAGAACCCAGAGAAAAGCTGCAAACTTCATGGTAAGTGAAATTACTTTTCAGGTTGCTTCTTGCTGGTTCCTGGCTGTAAATATCTCCCCACACAAAGCTGTAAGCAGAGTGGACGTGTGTCAACAGTTCACTGTACCCTTCCGACAGGGTAATAATTCTAGCTTTCAAACAACCCTCAACTTGGAAGATAAAAGTCTGAGTTTCCTGTAAAAATCTCCACAGATCTGTTTGTGACATCTATTTTTAAAATGCTTTCATTCAAGATTAAATGCTCTCAAATCCTAAGATACCCTTTCCAAGGAAATATGGCCTTGACTTCATAGCTCACAGAGCACGGAACTAGCAAGTCTTGTTCTGTTCTGTTTTGCTCTGTTTTGGCCAAGTAATTTTGCAGTGGAAAAGTGGAAATGCAGTGGAGATAAATACCACCCACAAATGGGTTTTGTTGTAGTTTTCGCCAGGAACATCTACACTCAAGTCTGCCTTTTATTTTATTTATGTATTTTTCTTGGGGAAAACAACAACAGCAAAACCCTCTCTGTTTTTAGCTCCCTAAATTTGGGATGAAACAAAATGTCCAGCCAACCCAACTTAGTTTCTTCTGAAATGCTGAGAACATCTGACTCTGAAAACACGCAGAAAACTCACCCAACAGTATTTAGCACAACTGCATAAAAAATGCCATGAAAAGGGATTAAAATGAAAACAGTTTTGATTAAATCATATTCTGCGCTTTTGAACAAAGCAACCATTCCCTAAGTCAGAGAAAAACAGGGCAGAATTCCTTCGATACCTGAACTTTGCTTTTCTTTCATGGGCAGTATATTCCTGCAATTTCCCGCTACCAACACCCACCTCACCTTGCAGTTCTGTGCGGTTCACACTTCTGATGGAAAGGTTCTCCTTCCCAGTCAGACCTAATACAAGTTTTTACCCTGGAGCTGTCAGCTGCTGAGATTAGGGTGCAAGGGACTTCACATGAGCACACAAATGTGCTTATATATACCTCAAACAAAAAACGTGTGCACATTACTCGGCACATCAGTAAAGAAAGTATGCTAACATTGTCCTTGTACCCCGAGCAGACATGTTCTCTTGCGGTTTTTTATTCAACTTAAACTCTGAATTCAATAGATTGGGGTGTTTTGCAGTACCTAGTTAGGAACAGGTGAACTGAGAAATAAAGCTGTACATGTTAAAAAATCAAAGCACACTGACTTATCTCTATCAGAGTAAATGCAGTAATTACAGATTGACTCAGTATAAGGGAAAGGCTGGAGGGAAGCCTGGGGAGAGGATTGTGAACAAAAGCATCGCAGTATGAAGATATGGATTTTCCATACTGAAAGAAACTCTGGCAGGCAACAAAGGACGTAAATACTGTTTCTATAATTCCTCACATGACATTGGAGCAGACTCTTCAAGAGCTTTTAAATAGTTTGATTCTTTCTTATTTCTGTCCTCATATGCTAAATTACAATCTGAAGTGGTGCAGCCAGGGCTGGAAGTACTATTTTCTAATACGATTTTCAGTGCAATTTTGCAGGGTTAAATGGTTTAGATTATACACAGGAGCACAGCCATCCCAAACTCAGTTTCTGAAGGTTGGCCACTCTAAAATCAAGTATCTGGGAAACAGCTTGAGGAGGTGTAAGCAACCTGTATATTTCTTGTAGCAACTGAGGCATATGACTAAAATAACAAGACCATTCCAAGCAGGCAAGTATTGTCATCATCGGGTACACTTGGGGGAACTAACGGAAAGCAGATACTGGCCACGGGCAAAGTCAGAAAAAAAAAAAAAGACAACAAAAAAACAACACTTGGTAAATATGGAGGCAAAGGAAAAGGCAATCCCTCTTCCAAAGCACTGAACTGTCCCATGCTGTGATGCAACACAATGCAGTATTATACAGTGTCCTGAATGCCACATAGTAACTGTATTCCATAATGCTTTATGGGACTAAATAAAAGATGACAGCGGGTGATACACTGCCTGTCACATTTACTAAAAAGCATATAAAATCATTTCACAATGAATAAAAGAAAGCGTTAAGTCATAATCCAAAGAAACAGAGGCCATTTAAGCAATGCACACCAGGGGCATACTCTAGATGGCAGGAGCTAGAAAGACATCTTTACACATGGGAAAAGGAGACTATTTCATAAGAAAGATGAGTGGGAAGGAAGCTAGGGAGACAGTGAGGCAATTCCCTGCTGAGGCTGAACTGACTGGAAAGCAACTTTATATTTCACTTTTCTGAACTCTGTTTTCTTCCCCCTATTCCTTGTCCAAATTTTAATTTTAAACTTATTGGTGTGTATGATAATCCAGCTGTCCAAGTTAAAAGAGCAGCTGTGTTTTCAGAAGTGCCAGGCTCCCTCCCCTTGCATGGAGATCAGTGAAATACAGGGTGATGTTCAGCCCAGTATGCAGGAAATTGGGCTTGTCTGAAGACCCTCCCCAGCGTGTGCACCCAGCACATCCTATGGTTTCTCCTCAGCATGGGCATGCTCTTCTAATGTCATGCTGCATGAGTAGCAAGACCTGGAAACCACAGTGCCTGCTGTAGATAACTGCATTTCCTATCAAGTTTTCACAATGTATCAACACATCCCTCTTAAACCTGCTCCCACTCAGGACATGTCTGCTACAGAAAGAGGTTCGCTTTTATTATCATCCTTCTACAATGAGCTCCTTCAGTTAAAATCTAAACAAACTTGAAATGCAAGTACTGCTTGCTAACAGCTAATCCGCCATCTGTTCTTGGATATTCACTGAGCAAAGAGGGTCTGTAGGTGTCAATTACTTCAGAGAAGAATTCAGAGAACAACCTGGTCTAAGGACCTAACCAGTAACATGAATATTTAATTCCACTTTTCTTACGTTTCTGGAGTTGTAACTTCCCTTGCTAAGGTGTTTTTCTGTATGTAAGTTTACTTCTGTCTTTCCCTTGTACTCACAGAAGTTGGCCCACATCAATAAACTCTTGACATGTTGGTAGAGACTGCAAGTATACCACACTGTGACATGTTTTACAACAAGAGTATACCCTCTTAAATCCCACGGAACATAACCTGATGAGCTCATCCTCTCTTACAGCTCAGAAGAAAGTTGCTGGAAACCATGTGAAGGTTCATTTCACCACTTGTAAAGCTATTTGTTTTATTTCAGGAAGGAACCTTGGGAGTTTGCATGTGGGAGTTTTCCAGATACAACTTTCCTCCCCCACCACTGCAGTCTTTGAAACAAATACAGCGGTCAATGGTTTGCCACCAGTTTTTAAATACATCAGATAACCTTCGGGGAGAATAATAGCTCTTCAGTTCCTTCAGTTGAAAATTAGCCTGATCTAAATAGCTGAATCTACTGAGTGAGAAGCAAAGAACAGTAAAACATTTTTGAATCCAGGCCACAAATCAGTTCATCCTGGGGACAAGCATGCCAAACAAGCTGTATTTATGGCAGACTGTTCAGATATTCATTGGCTTTTTTTCTTTTTTTTTTACTCCTCCATCTTCCTGCAATAAGGAGAAACTTTACTTGCTATCCACACAGTTCTGTGTAAATCAGAGAAAAAATGACTTCATGGTCAAAATAGTGTATTTCATAGCTGGTCACAGGTTGCTGCGGAGATACAAAACTGTAAGGTCATTTACCTAGTTAAAAATGATATTTAAACAATAAAGGAATCTTAGCTGGCGAAGACAACATTAGAAGTCCTCTTGGAATGAGGAAAATAGCATTTCATGGTAGCACTTGTCCTAGACATCTCTGTCTTTTAAGACAGAAGCTTCATGCACC